CGTCAGGCGGCGCGAGAGGACAGGTCCGGGACAGGGCCGGGGCGTGCGGGAGTGGAGGCGGCGCGAGGGGACAGGTCCGGGGCGTGCGAGAGTGGCGCCGCGAGGAGGTGCCGAGGAGTGTGCTGCGCCGAGAGCGCCGACAGCGTCGCGGGCGAGGGGTGCGACCGCGCTGCCGAGGTGCGGGTGGGCGGCTCGCCCTGCGAGTACACGTGGCAGTATCGCTGGAAGACCGTCGCGCGCTTGTCCGGCACGTGCACGCCTCCCGCGGCCGCCTCGAGCTCGGCCGACCGGCGCGGCGTACTGTCTCGCTGGTGGAAGGGCACGAGGACGTCTCGCGCGGCGAAGCCTAGGCGCGAGCTCGTGGACGCGTCGAGGACGCTTCGTGCGTCGGAGGCCGCCGGAGCCTCCCGCGCCGTGGTTGGACACGCCCTCCTGCTGCTCGAGCGCCCACGCGTAAAAGAGCGCCACGCCGCCTGCCCGGAGCACTCGCATCGTCTCGGAGACCAGCGCACGCCGCCGCTCCACCGAGGAGATGTGGTGCAGCACGGCGATCGACAGCGCGGCGTCGAAGCTCGCGTCGCGATACGGGAGCGCCAGGCAGTCTGCCACCAGCGCCTCCATCCGCATCTCTCTCGCCGCGATTCGGACGAGCTCGCTCGAAAAGTCGCAGCCAACGGCGGCGAGGCCGCTCTCGGCGCAGGCAGGCGCGAGCTTGCCGTTCCCGCACCCCAGGTCGGCGACGAGCGAGCCGTGCGGCAGGCTGCGCACAAACTCGACGACGCGTGGCCAGGCCTTGTACCGAGTGCCGTGCCACTGCCACGCAATCGCGTCGTAGACGCGCCGGACATGCTGCTCCTCGAGAGCGGCTTGTGAGGCCAGGAGCGAGGCGGGGCACTCGACGTTGTCCTTGGGAGGCATATACACGCAGGATTCCTACAGGGGCGCAGGGTGGCTGCAGCGCGCACCTCAGAAAGAAAGAAAGAACAGACGCCAGTCGCAGTGGCAACCGGACCACCGCGACCTTCGACAGGGAGAGCCATGCCTCCCCGAGCCTGGAGAGGAGCCGGCGGAGGGGGGGGGCGAGCCGGGGACGATAGAGAGGCCGCGAGTGCGGGCACGACTCGCCGACCAGGGAGAGCGGGCTCGACCTCCCTGGGAGGGGAGGCGACACGACCCAATGCCGTCGCCCTCACCCGGGGAGACCCTCGCCGGACCGTCGACGCCCTCGGAAGCGGTGGAGCCGGGAGAAGCTGGCGGAGATGAAAGGCGGCAGCGGAGGAAGCGGCACCAATAACGAGGGAAACGGCCACACCGGCCGTCGCATGACGCTCGTGAGACGAGCAAGAGAACGAATCAAAGGGGGTCGGAACCCTGGGAAGACAGGGGGTGAGCCCTCAGGCGGGGGGTCTACTCAAGTGCCTGCGTGAGTGAGTGTGGAGTGGTGGTGTGGGGCGTGCAGTGTGGTGTTCATTAGCTCCGAGTAGAGGGGGCGTCCTGCAGTTAAGGGGAAACCCGGTACGCGGGGCCAACCCTCGGAGACCCGTGTTTACTTTAAGGCCCTTGCCCTGCGAACGCGCACCCCCCCTAGGGGTCAGGGCTCTCTAGCCCGTAGCCCGATCCCGATCATCCGGCCCGCTGGGTGCGCTTCTGAGCTCCCCGGCCCTGGATGTGAGGCTGCCGACTGCACTCCAAGTGCTCCAAGTGCTCCAAGATCAGCCCAGGGAGATGGGAGGACGGCACGCCGCCACCACACCCGCCTTTTTTTCAGCGTTGTAAAATTCTTTTCCTGGGACAGTCACGCCGTTCATCACGGTGTATTCGATTCGCGCCCTCTCCACAAAGCGTCTCGAGCAAGCGTTCTGTCTGAGGTGAGCATGGGCACCAGCTGATCGGTCGAGAAAAAAGAGCGAACGGCCAGATCACGCTTCACGGGTCGGTGCAGCACCTCGCGTCGTCAATCAGCACCGTCTCCACATTGACGGCGCGCCCGTCCGCCATGATCTCGCCCACGAGGAAGCCCTGCTGCCCGTCGCACGCCCACCCGCCGCCGCCGCCCGTCAGCCAATTGCGGTTGGGCGCGATCGACGCCGTGCCGGCGTAGCCCGACTCGTGCGCAGCGGTCGCGTGCCGGTGGCCTCCGAAGTAGGAGATGCGCGTCTCGTGCGAGCGGAGGAGCCCGATCGTGTCGATGCCGCCCGGCCGCCGGCCGAGGAGGAAGTCGGTCGGGTAGTGCGACACGACGAGCAAGTTCCCGCCGCGGTTGGCGGCCACCCGCTCGCGGAGCATCCGCGCCGAGGCGACCTCCCGCTCGGCGAGGGTGCGGAGGCACTGCGCCGGCGAGCACCCCTCGGACTGGACGAGCCAGGGACACGACTTGGACGCGTCGGCCGCGTTCATGTCGAGCGCCACAACCTAGCGGGGGGAAGGGGCGTGGAGCCGGGGGTGCAAAGGGGAGCCGACGTCTGGCGGCGGCCGCGCGCCTCAATGTTGACGCCCGGGAGGGGCCGCGCGTGGTAGTAGGTGGAGGGCATGTACCACGACGTGTTGCGGTGCCTCGCGCCGTGCTTCTGCACCTGGTGGCACTGCTTCGGGTCCGAGAGGCAGCCGCACCGCCAGTCGGGCGCCTCGTAGTCGTGGTTGCCTATCCTCGAGCGCAACACACACCGCCTCACACGCGGTGGGCGGGCTCGGCCGGGGGAAGAGCGCGCGGGCGATCGGCGCCGTAGACCGAGTACCACTGCATGTGGTCCATCCCGTGGTACACGTCCGACCACTTCTCGGTCCACTGCGGGTCGTCGACACCGTGCACGCCCTGCGCGAGGGGGGGGGGCGGCGGCAGCGAGTGTGTGCCGTGCGAGCGAGAGCAGGTGCGTGCCAGC